CTCTCTCTCTCTCTCTCTCTCTCTCTCTCTCTCTCTCTCTCTCTATATATATATATATATATATATATATATATATATATATATATCATATCATTTTAGCACATCATATCAATCACATAATTAACTTGTTTTCATTTTAATTCAGAGGCAACCCCAAAGACCATCATGCGAGTTATGGGTGTAAAGGGTCTTACCCTTTACCACCTCAAGAGTCATCTCCAGGTATGCATACACCTATATCTATTTATGACTATATGGATATGCCTTTGTTTTCGCTAGCTTATATATTGTAAGATAACCACGTTTTTTCATTTTAACCTAACATAGAAATTTAGACTGGGAAAGCAGCCTCACAAGGAGTTCAATGATCATTCAATTAAGGATGGTATGCGAGGTATCACATCTTTTTTCCCTCTATTTCTTCCACCTCTAACTTACACACCCATTATATATATACGTCTTCATCTCAAAATGGAGTATTTCGCTCTTGATTCAGCTTCAGGTCTAGAACTTCATCGAAACACGATTTCTTCATCCAATATGATCAACCGCACCATGAATGAGTATGTGTATTAATATATATGTTGCTATTTCTGGCAACAACGTTCTCCCTTGTTAATTCATTTGAATAGTATAAATATAACTTTTTCTCCTTTTCTTCCTCCTTCGCTATTAGAATATTATTATTAAATATCATAATTGAAGTAGTGATGATTTTATCATTTGCGGATAATTTAAGGCAGGGTTCGATTTTTTATTTTATTTTATTTTATTGTGTAATGGCATTTGTAGTAGCAACTCAAACATGGTTGATGTGATTAGGATGCAAATGGAGGTGCAGAGAAGATTGCACGAACAATTAGAGGTAAAAACTTGGTCGCTCAAAATATTCACAATCGATAAATAGTTTTGATGGAAAATGAACCAATGAATATAATTAAGCACATGCAGGTGCAAAGACACCTGCAGTTGCGGATCGAGGCTCAAGGGAAATATATGCAGAGTATACTAGAGAAAGCTTGTCAAACCCTTGCCGGTGAGGACATGGCAGCTTCCGGGGGCTACAAGCTCATGCCTGGAATCCCAAGCAATAATAATCAACAAGGTGTTGGCGACATGGGCGGAGGTATCAAAGATTTTGGGACCCCTCTCGGCTTCCCTTCATTTCAAGACCTCAACCTCTATGGAGGCCACCAGCTGGATCTTCAGCAAAACGTGGATGGATTCATGCCTCACAACGACAGCTTACTGTGCTTGGGAAAGAAGAAGCCGCGGCCACCTGCAAACTACGGATCCGGAAAATATGCGTTGGACTGGCCGGATGATCTCCGGCTGCAAGGCATAGGAATGACGCCGCCGCAGCAAGCAGATCATGAATTCAAAGACATTAACATTGTTGCGACGCTGGCAGAAAGAGGTCATTTGGAGGAAATGTATGAGGCAAAGCCAGTGGGATCGGATGAGAGCATGCTAGGGGATCACAAGAAATATGATACCAATGACAATGCGTCCTTAAAGCTTCAGAGGCCGTCGCCCAGGAGGGCACCCCTTTCAGCAGAAACAGTCAACCAGTCTCTTACAAGCGCTCCGCAGGTCACACTTTCACCTTTTGGTTAATTTTGTTAAAATATCATCGGTTTAGTGTTCAGAGTTTTCAGTTAAGTATTTTAGTTTGAGTGAATACTTCCATTTTCAACTTAAAAAAAAGAGTGGATGTCAATTATCGTGTAATTAAACTCATTTTCCTTTATGATTTTAAATTCAGTACTTATAATGGGCATAACTTTTGTTGGAATCTCATATGGACTAATTAAGAGGAAAAAATCTAAAGCAAAATCATGAGTATCAATAAGTGAACGATATCATGTGGGGGTTTGTTATTCTTATCATTGTGAGCAAGCTTTGAAAGAGTGTTGATTCATGATGTATTGTTAAATCAATTGCCGGATACCTACAATAATTGTACGAAAGATGGTCTTCAATTATGACTAATACCATACTTTAGTAGTTAACAAATTGATCGTTAATTTTTCTAGTACAACAAAACATCCGAGTATGTAGAGATTTACAAAGATAAGTCAATTTTGTTAGGATGGTCTAAGCAATAAGCATTTTATTACTGTTCTTTTATTTATTTTTTTAATTTTTGCGTCAAAGTTAGTTAGCGGTATGATCGGATTTGAAGACATAACTATCGGGAATATCACCGGGTCAATACAATTACAATTACAATTACAATGTCTATGTCATGGATTTCCCAAACAAAAGTATCCGACCAACTCCTCCTCTGGTACCAAAATAAACAAAGGCGCAGGATATTATCCATACGACAATGATCTTTCTTTCTCTACCTCAGATCTCCAAAGAACGAGGCTAATGGCTACACTTTTCAAGGCCCAAAGAGATTCTGGATTACAGCCTAAATCAGTACACGCAGACACAAGACTTAGTAAAAAATTAAAGAGAGAGATGTATGTGTGTGATGAGTGGATTGAAGATTATTAGATCCATGCATGGCATGGGATGGGAAAGGACAGGAAAGGAAAGGAAAGGCATATGGTTGTGCCAAGCATAAATTAAAGAAGGTACGCGCGGCCACCTATTTTATTGGTTGCAGAGAAAAATAAAGGCAGTTGGCAAGAAAGCTCCTTGTCTTCTTGGAGGAAAAGAAGATATGGGTGGGACGAGACGGAAGAGGCGAAAAATAAAAGGCAATAAAGCCCAAAGTCAAGGAAGAATATATCCAACGCAATTCCATGCGTGCGCATATCGAGGAAGCTTCTATCTTTTTTTCTCATTAATATAACCAAAGGATGCATGTGCCTTACTCTATCTACACTTTTTCCAATTTTCCATACTATCTTCCGATTTCAAGCAGATGGAATCAATTATGCATATGAAATACCCATATTTTCTTATATCATATCATATTCTTCATTTTTAATTCAACATCGTCTCCTTTGATCTGTAATGGGAGAATCGTTTCCTCATCTACCTGATATAATTCCTCTCCCTCTCCCTCTCCCACTCCCTATTATTACTTACTGCTCCATCCACTTCTTATCGTACTGCGGAGGCCTCTTTTCTTTTGTCTAGCTCCTCCTTTTTGACATAGCTGGTGACTAAATTTTTTCAAACTGTATTCCTAAATACTTGGAAGAAAAAGAAAGACACCGCTGTTTTTTTAATACAAAGATCAAACATACTCCAAGCACACAAATTTTGACAAATTTCAGAAAATATAAATAGAATATTTTTCATCTTCACACTTTCCGAACACAATACTTAGCTATTTATCCAAGCTAAGTTCTTATTAAAGCTTCTAAATGAAATAACCAATAAAATCATTAGTAAGATTTGTTTCTAAAGATACTATAATATTCAACTCTCTCTCCGTGGCTTTCTTTGGAGCTACCTTCTTTCTTTATAGCAAACTAGACTTTATTGATTTGCAAATATAACAATTTTAAAAAATTACTAAATATAGCAAAATTGTAAAATAAGATTTGTTATTCCTATTTTACCCTTATTTTAGAGAAATGATTGTTTGTGCGATTTGTTTTTCCAAAAGGTTTCTGTTTTGCATTTCTCAAATAGGGTTTAGGGTTTAGGGTTTAGGGTTTAGGGTTTAGGGGTTTGGGGTTTTGGGGTTTGGGGTTTTGGGTTTCGGGTTTTAGGGTTTTGGGTTTCGGGTTTCGGGTTTCGGGTTTCGGGTTTCGGGTTTTAGGGTTTAGGGTTTCGGGTTTTCGGGTTTAGAATTTAGGGTTTTCGGGGTTTAGGGGTTTAGGGGTTTAGGGTTTTAGGGGTTTAGGGCTTAGGGCTTAGGGTTTAGGGTTTAGGGCTTAGGGCTTAGGGTTTAGGGTTTAGGGCTTAGGGCTTAGGGTTTAGGGTTTAGGGCTTAGGGCTTAGGGTTTAGGGTTTAGGGCTTAGGGCTTAGGGTTTAGGGTTTAGTGTTTTAGGGCTTAGGGTTTAGGGTTTAGGGTTTAGGGTTTAGGGTTTTAGGGTTTAGGGTTTCGGGTTTAGGGTTTAGGGTTTCGGGTTTAGGGTTTAGGGTTTAGGGTTTAGGGTTTAGGGTTTAGGGTTTAGGGTTTAGGGTTTAGGGTTTAGGGTTTAGGGTTTAGGGTTTAGGG